AGCCAGATTCGTTCAGCTTTTGATTTTCTGGCCTTGGCCCAGGCAGCGTCTCTTTCTTTGAGCAGATTACTTATCTCAGGAGAAAACCAAGGGTTTTTACGAACCTTTATTCTGTATTTACGATGCGGAGCATGTGTGTTGATTATGTTTTGAAATCCCTCATAAAAGTACTCCAGTGCAAGTTCTACGTCATCTATCAAGGAAGTTCTACTCCCATCAAAAGTGGCTACGTCATGAAGAAAGGCCTGCTCACAAAAATGTTTTAAATCCCTTTTGAAAATTATGACAGGCTTCACTTTTGGTAATTTGCCATTTCTTATGGCAGCTGTGGTGCAGTGGTCGCTGAGATCATTGGCAAACACACCTGTGTCTGTGTACTTATGAGGCATGTTTGTCCGAATTAGGTCCAGTAAAGTAGATTTTGCTGGGTTTTTTGTTATTTGGGCGTGTTGACGTTTGAATTAGTTCAGTTAGATTTTAAGGATTGACAAGATATATTTAAGTTTGTCAGATGTAGAGGTCAACCAGTCCAAGTTTAGATCACCAATMAACAAAAGCTCACTGACATTTTGCACAATCAGAAAATTATTGAATGGAGAGCTTCGTTGGAGGCTGAAGGGAGTCTGTAACAACCCACCACCATTCTTCCTGCCCACAGCCATCAGTATTTATAACAACTCTTTAAAGAAACAATGATAATATGAGTTACAACATTTAATTTCGTTGATATTAATAAAGTATTATTGAATTGAATTGACTCATTGCAGTTTCAACTTCCTGTCAGCCTCAGCTCAAAGAACACATTTTTGTTTGTGTCCAGTCAGAAGCTATTTTTAATTTATTTATTTACAACCATCATAACAAAAGCAGTTTCCCCTTTTATGACAACATAACTATACAACTTGTATTACTCAACCACTCCTAGTCAGTTTCACACTTCGGACTACATTTTATTCAGTTTTTCCCTTTTTTTATTATTTTTGAGCTGCTGAACGAAATGTTTCTCCTTTAAAAAACAGCAACGAAAATATATTTACCTCCACTTTTCTCCTTGACAGKGTCGCGAAGACTGAAATCTTTTATAAATTCGTGACTTTCCATCGTTTTGATGGGAAAATTTTAACCTGTGTGTTTGATTAATTGTTCCGTCTTTTCCTCAGGTTCATCACCTTTTGTTCCGCAGCTTATTTTTTAGGCTAATAAATTTATATTTTTAACTACCGGTTAGAGATTAGGCTGATTCAGACCTCTTTTGGCATATTTGCAAAAAATTGATCATTGAATAAACAGAAAGTTTATGCTGAAAAAACAAAAAGTGGAACGTGTGTTTCCGCCGCTCGTTTCTGCTAGGTCCGGACACCAATGTGTGTAACACCGGTGTTAGAGTTCTGTGATCACAAATACACTGTTATTTATATATTTATGTCTGTCATGGAGTTTTCTTGACATCCAGCCAGTAACACTTCGTGGCTTTAGTATTGTTTAGATGATAAACATAGCATTTTTATTAAACGATTATATTAAACATTTTATAACAGCATCCTAACAATATTGCACAAATTATTACAGCTGTGTAAAGAAAAGAAAATGAAAAGAAAAAAAAATCAGCATTTCAAAAAGCTTTAAGCATCAAGCTTTGGTGTTTGAAGATGATTGTATCAAGCGTTTCTATTATATCATTATAATAAAGCAGAAGTTAAAAAGTGGCTTTTATCATAGCATTTAGTTATAAATATGATATTTGGCAAATATACAAAAAGTATAATAATATTCATTTATTTAGAGTTACATGCATTGAATAAACCATTGAGTTCATCCGAGTAATCAAGAGAGAAGATCTTGAGAATCTTGGCCTGTTTGCAGAGAATGAAGTCCTTCCAGAAAGCTACAATGGAGGGGGCATTTCCACCATAGGTGGAGGACAGTTTCACTGTAAGTTACAAAAAGCAGCTACAGTCCATGTCTTTGTGTAAAGATTTCTTTGCAGCACCTGTGGAAAWGTTTAAAACATACATCCCAAACTTTGTTTGCAATCAAATATTTAAAAGATAAAGTCCATACAGTACTCTATTTCATAACAAGTGCAAAATGTCTCCAAGAGTGAATGAAGTCACAGTAGCAATGCTGTAAATATCACAATGCTGCTGCCATCTACTGGACATAACAGCATTTAGAGAATGAATAGAACAGAAAAATCTGCGTTAAAATCACCACACAAAAAAACCCCAACACCTTTTTGTTAAATTGATCAATACATGTTCCTGCTTCTCTATACATGCAATTAACTAATGTTTTTGTGATTTTTAACCTCAACTTTAACAGTAATAAATGACATTAAATTATCAATGATACATGTCATATTATTAACTTTACATTTAAGTGATGACATTACAAACAGGGCAACGGCCCCTCCCTTTCACCATCTAGTCCATCAATTAAATCCTTATTGTCTTTCAGCCGTCTCTGAAATAGCTATTACACAACRTTGTTTTAAAAACTGTCAAGAATATTTAGTATTTGAAAGTTACTGTAGAGACTACTACTATGAAAATRGATCACTGAAATCCATATTCATATTCACCTTAGAATTAAAGTCATCCTCAGAATATTATTCACAATTTGTACTAATATTCTGATAGAAGTGCACATCAGGATCTACATCATTTTTTAACTCGTAAATTCTGTTGTGGACGGGGAAAGGTGGAAATGTCTCTCAGCCTCATGCGGCGCTGAAGACAGCAGCACATGTGCGTACACACCAACACCCACACACTTTTGCGAGTGGCAAACACATTTTTACACCCCACTTCTTATGTAGACAATTTTTTCACTCATTCTCCATTTAATATATAATTTTCCTGCATCTAAAAATCGTTTCTGATCCCACAGAGAGGACAATCTGAGGAGAATCTCACACACTGGACACATTTGCATCTATTTTACAGATTTAAWTGGAGGCGTGTCAGGGGAGGTGTCTCACGTGCGCTCAGTTCCACGTTTTTTGGGATGTATAAAGGAATGGTGCACAGGAACATGCGTGCACACAGTTTTATACATTTTGGTGCGGCGCACTTTTCTAAATTTGTCCATACGTCAACTTTTAGTGTGAAAGCTGCGCACTCCTTTATGCATGAGG